GGGGGGGGGGGTCGTCATCCTCAGCACAGGAACAATACGCCAAGCAACACTTCTTTTTAATCATTGCTATCAAAGCTGGCAAGCTGGCAGAAAAAGTCAAGTGTGCTTCAGCTCCGGGGTAGAGTAAGAGAGCGTTTGAGGATAACACGAAGACCCACCGCCAGCCCATGGGGATAGGAGGTGATTATTCAAGCAGCCAATTAGACGCTTGTCTGCATGTTTGTTACAACTCACAACTGTTTAAACCCCTGAGAGGTCAAGGTTAACACACAGAGAGAGAGAGCAGGAGTGGAGAGACTGGGGACTTTTTCATTTGTTGTGCCACAGGAATACAGTTGTTTACTTATACTTTGAGGGTGAAAACTGTATATTTACATGGCAATTAAATGGCAAAAGTCACAGCACTTTTTTGCATGTCACATAACTAAAATGTTTAGTATTTTAAAATGTTTTGTATTGTACATATGGTACAATATGTAGCAGTGGTTCTGAACTGGTTTTTCTTCAGGATCCTGATTTTGTGGCGATTCAATACAGTACCAAAAGTATAAAAGAAATGTCCTAAAAATCAAATATTGACTAATAATAATAATAAATCATCATCATTATCTTCACCATTATATTTTTTAGGTTTGCTAGATTTTGTTATTGTGTCAATATGTTATATTTAGGAAATACAATTATTATTATTATTATTATTATTATTATTATTAAAATAATATTGTATTGTTGTTGTTATCATTTTATATAATATTGTAGGTGTAAATGTGTGAAACCCATGTGATCACACATTCACACTATGAAAATGTTCCAAAACCACATATTTCACATGATTTTAACATGTGAAGTTCATGTGGTTTTTCTGCACAATAATTTAAGTGTTTTCTACTACCTTTTTTAAAACTTACTAAGCCTATTTATTTATGTTCTTTATTATAATAATAAAAATAACTATTTAAGTATAAATAATTGTATGAATAATAGCTCTGTTATTTGTTTCTCCCCAACTGAGAATCTCTGCCAATATATATATTTCTTTTTTTTTTAATGCAATAACTTTCTCTGCCTTTTTGCCTTTCTTCTGTGATGGTGTAGCCTTGTACACATTGGCAAAGGGAAGTAATAATAACTAGTTTTATCCTACATTATTTTCCATTTAATGTTGTTTCACTTGAAAAAAATTACACTTTATGGAAGTGCAATTGTTTTATTGTCTTTAAATTATTGTTCAATTCAACTTTATCTCTATCAACAGCATCTGTGATATGTGACATGCAATAAAATGAATGCACTTATAATGGAAATCTATGAGGCAGTCCAGATGTTCAGCACTTTGAGTTTTCAAGGCATCTGTCCCCATTTTTGTTGGGGTGTATAGCTTAAAACTTAAAGCACAAAAGCATGAAATAAGATTTCCAGTTTTCAGTAAATGTGTCTCCCATCTTTTTCATCTTTTTTTAGCATTATTTCTTAAAAAAAAAAAATATATCAATATATATATATATATTTTTTTTAATGCAATAACTTTCTCTGCCTTTTTGCCTTTCTTCTGTGATGGTGTAGCCTTGTACACATTGGCAAAGGGAAGTAATAATAACCAGTTTTATCCTACATTATTTTCCATTTAATGTTGTTTCACTTGAAAAAAATTACACTTTATGGAAGTGCAATTGTTTTATTGTCTTTAAATTATTGTTCAATTCAACTTTATCTCTATCAACAGCATCTGTGATATGTGACATGCAATAAAATGAATGCACTTATAATGGAAATCTATGAGGCAGTCCAGATGTTCAGCACTTTGAGTTTTCAAGGCATCTGTCCCCATTTTTGTTGGGGTGTATAGCTTAAAACTTAAAGCACAAAAGCATGAAATAAGATTTCCAGTTTTCAGTAAATGTGTCTTCATTATTCTTTTATGCTCTCTGTCAAAGATATTTCTTATTCCGGTCATGAGTCTAGGCAATTACTTTTTTTAATATTTAATTTAGTCAGTGTAACACAGACTGAGTGAAATTGTGTGGGTGCACGTTTGGTGTTGTTTGAAACATTTTTGGATGGAATACATTATTAATATTTTGAAATGGATACATAATTCTGCCTGGAATTGTTCATGTAGTGGCTCATCGGTTTTGGTGCACGTGTTTATATGGGGCAAATGTGTGTCATTGTCTCGAAGGAGCTCAAAGCAATCAGTGGTGTTGACTTGCTGTGCAAGCTCTGCATTCTGACGAGCTGAAGAGCGTCTCTAGAAAGTGGACAACCAGTTCACATCTAGTGGACACCATAAAGATTTAAGTAAATAATAACAGAAAGGTAATTTTTGGCTGAATTATATCTTTAAGACCATTATATCTAAGAATTTTGGTGGATAGATCGATCCATGTGTTTATTTGATCCCTCAATTGATACTTTGTCCATCATAATCATATAAAGAAAGAAAAGAGTATAGTTTATTGTAATGTGACTGATTTATCTTCATCTTCTGATTAGGTTTGTCTCCAGTATCTTTTTGGGTTCCTTAACCACACTCTGCTCCAGATATAAGATCAAACTGGACTCGGATGGAATCCAGTATGGAGGCCATGGCAGACTGGACCACAACACCGAGTTCTTCACGGAGCCAATGGAATTCAACAATCTGCCCAACTCCATGTTGGTAAGCAAACTATACTATTTGTTACCATAAACATATAGTAACATTCAACGTTCATATGCCGACAGTCTGTTTTTCTTTGTCTTTGCTGATTGTGGTGGAGAATATGTGAAGATATTTGTTAAATGGACCTCAGAGTGCTACAAGTGCACATTAAAAACAGTACCAGTAAAATGTCTCAATACCAATTTGAATACCACAGCAAAAATTATTAAGCTATTAAACCCGCCCTTTAATTATGTTTATACAAATATACAAATTAAATTAAAATAATGGAATGTAGCCTTTAAGCATTTCTCATTAAGTAAACATTGCCCAAGTAATTAAAAACGAGTAAACAAATTCTCATTTAATTACTCAAGTAGACGTTCAATAATCAAATAAACATTAAAGAATCACATTAAAAGAACTTAATCAAATTAAAACAACAAAACAAAGATGCAAATTAAGTAAATAGTGGTGTTCAGTTATCTATAGTACTGTATCAGTAGCAGTACTGTATCAGGTATTCGAGTAAACATTCACAGAAATGAAATTAAATTTACTTATTGATTATTTGATCAAATAAATGAATACCGCTCCGATGCTGTTGGAGTTTGACTAAAAGGCAAGTCTATAATTAAAATTTGTACAGTTTATTTTTTCTTCTTCTTTTTAAAACAGTTGTTTGATTAATTTTAATGACATAATAGACATTTACACCAGTTGTTCTTAACCTGAGGCCTGCAGCCCACTACGGAGCCTCATCAAAGTTCTAAGCGAGCCTCAAGATTACTTTATTTATTATTATTTATATTAAAATAAGCCAAAACACAAAAAAATCGGTTGGACTCTCATTCTGACGGCACCCATTCACTACAGAGGTAATTCTAAATTTCTCCAAATCTGTTGTGATGAAGAAGCAAACTCATCTACATCTTAGATGGTCTAAGAGTGCATGCATTTCAGCAAATTTACATTTTTGGGTGAGTTATTCCTTTAAATGTGATTTCTAAACCTGAAAATCTTTGTACCACAAATGCATCCTGAGCGATGTTTTTTTCTTTTTTATTGTTTTACTTTCCTGCATTAGCATACATTTACATTTACATTTACATTCAATAATTTAGCAGACGCTTTTATCCAAAGCGACTTTCAAATGAGGAGAACAATAGAAGCAATCAGACCAACAAGAGGGCAACAGTATACAAGTGCTGTGACAAGTCTCAGTTAGTCTAGCACAGTACACATAGCAAGGTTTTTTTTTATTATATTAAATTAGAAAAAAATTTATAGAATAGGTAAGCGCTAGTATTAATTGGTCAGGTGCTGACAAAAAAAAGGTGTCTTTAGATGTTTTTTTTGTTTTGATTTTGGCTAAAGACTCGGCTGCTTGAATTGAAATAGGTAGGAACAGTCCAGGAAAACCCATGAGAGTGATTTTGTGCCTCTTTGGGATGGCACCACGAGGCGTCGTTCCCTTGCAGAATGCAAGCTTCTGGAGGGCACATAAGTTTAGGTATATTGGTGCAGAGCTAGTGGTTGTCTTGTGGGCAAACATCAGTACCTTGAATTTGATGCGAGCAGCTA